ATGGCCGCTCAGAGAGAGACTTATTTCTGAGGTCATTGGTGCTCTTTCTTCTTTTTTTCTTTCTTTCTTTCTTTCTTTCTTTCTCTTTCCTCCCTCCCTTTTCTCTTTCTTTCTTTCCTCCCCTTTCTCTCCCTCTCCCTCTCTCATTTCTTTTCCTTTCCTTTCCCTCCCTCCCTTTTCTTTCTCTTTCTTTCCTTCCCTCCTTACTTTTTCTCTTCCCCCTTTCTCGTTCTTTTTTCTTTCTTTCCTCCCTTTTTTTCTTTCTCTTTCCTTCCCTCCTTCCCTCCCTTTCTCTCCCTCTCCCATTTCTTTTTCTTTATTTCTCTTTCCGCTCTCCCTCCTTCCCTTCCTTTTTCTCTTTTCTTTCCTTCCTTCCTTCACTTTCTCTTCCTCTCTTCTTTCTCTTTCTTTCTTTCTTTTCTTTCTCATGACACTAGGGAACATCGTCGGTGCTAGCAGCAAACCCCACTCCCTTCTCCAACTCATGTTCCCTAAATGAAATGCCTCCAAGAAAACCACCAGGCTCAGAAAAGACCAAGGACCCCACAGTCCTCCTTCTCTTCTTCCTCCCCTTCTCCTTTGCTTCACCAACCCCACTCGTGTTACCTAGTTAGGTAGCAAAATGCCTGCAAGGGAACCACAAAAGGGCTGAGAACCCCATAGAGTTCCTCTTCCCTTGCTTGCCTTTCCTCCTCCTCCTCCTCCTCCTTCCCTCCACAAACCCCACTCCCTTCTAACCCTGCTAAGGTCATGAACCATCTGCCAAAAAAGCCACCCAGCTCAGACAGCACTGAGAAGCCCATCATTCCACCCTTCTCTTCTCTTGACACAGAGCCCTACTGTAGGAGGAGGATCCCTGAGTCAGGGCACAGGGGCCTGTCCTGAGTTAGCCAACCAACCCGTTGGCTGCCCGCTAGCCAAGGGACCTCAGCGCCGGTCCACTTACATGGCGGGGGTTCCAGGCGTCTGAGGGTTGTACGGAGGGTTAACCTGCGGGGACGAAGGGTCTGGATAGCCTGGAGTCTGGGGGTTGGGGGTCGCCCCGTAGCCCTGGGGTGAAGGCGTGGGCTCGTCGTCGAAACCGTAGTCAAACTCTTCCTCCGGCCTGTAGAAGAAGTCAAGGATCCAGTCCAGCTCCTGTGCCGGGACTCCCCCAGTCCCATCTCCCTCCACCGGACCGGAGGTCCTACCTCGAAGGGGTGTTGGGATCCCAGGCACCGCTCTGGGCGGGTGTCCGGCTGCCATCATGTAAGGGTGTTTGGGAGCCGTAGTGCGGCGTCCGGTTTCCTGAAAAACAGACATCCGTTATTCTTTGGTCTGTCATTGTGTTGGACGACGTCCACCCGCACTGCTACACACCACCACCACCACCTCCTCCTCCTCCTCCTCCACAACATCATCCACCAAACCCAGGCGCTTTTCTGCCTGGCTGTTATAGCTGCTTGGTGCTGGGCAGGCAAGGGAGGGGTCTTAAAGGGGCAGGGCCCCACCAGCTCAGATGCCAGCCAATTTGGAGGCAGCCCACCGTCTCACACAAGGTCCTCAGGTTAGGGAATTCAACAGCCTCGTTGCTCAAATACACCCCACGGGTGGCAGAGGCTTTCGGGGTAGCCATAGGCCAAGGAACCCACCGACCTCTCCCGGCCAGAGAGACGGGTGTGCCACCCTCTTTCTCCTACTCACCGTCGTGCTGGGTCCCGTACATGGGCGTGCGGGAGCCCGAGCCATACATTGGCGTCTGGGAGCCGTACATGGGGGTCCGTCCGTAGCCAGAGGGCATGCCGGACGGCTTTTTGGAATCTCTGCAAAAGGAGGAAAGGGAATGAGTTGGGCTCGATAAAGCCGGAACATCGTCTCATTCGCCTCGGCTGGGTTCAGAGTCTGGCCCAGAGCTGCGTTTCTGAAACCAAGCACGGGGCTGATGTGTGTGCGTGTGTGTGTGTGGGGGGTCTCCCTCCCTCCCCATCTCAAATCTGGCTCTTACACGATCGTCAGATGCTCCCGGTCCACTGAGATGGTCTGGCACGTGGAGTGCAGCTCTACCCTGGCGGTGGATTCCGTGGCATCCTTGACCATCCCGATGTAGCCTGGAAAAAAACGAGCGCAGACGTTCCACGGGGTGGGCGTTAAATGAGGGTTCAGCCTGGAATCTCTACATAGCTGCAAACGAGCCAATTCTGTCGATGCTTTTCTAACTCCCAGGAGACAGGTGGGCTGAAGTTGACAGGTCATAACGGGTTCACAATTGCCCACCTGTCCTTCCAGGTGCTAACTTTAATTGAGAAGATTCCTACAGGTAGGTACGTGTAGCAATGCATCGGCTTAATTGGACCTTCACTTTTGGACCTGATCTTTCACCCCTGGCTACAGGTGAGCGATCAGGGCAACACCTCCATTTGCAACCTTCCCAGCTGGCTTCAGACAGGTAAAATCAAGGGAGGAGGTCAGATTCCCTTAAGAACCATACGGTTCTCTTAACAACGGCAGTGGTTTGCATCACCGTGGACCCCCCCCCCCCAAAAAAACCAACAACACCCACCCACCGGTGACCCCCCCTTTGTAAGACCCTCGGGAAATCCGCACCGTCTGTCCAATGAGGTCGTTATCCCTGCGCCCACGGCCTCGGTTCATTCCACCCCCTCCAAAGCCGCCCCGTGGCCCTGCAGAAGGTAAGAAACAGGTGTGCCAAGAGGCAGGGCCTTCCCAGGTGGGCTCCTTGAGGAGGGGGCTGTGTGCATGGGGGCCCTTTGCTGAAGACAGGCGTTGGGCGCCTCCGTCTTCCTGCTGGGGTAGCCCACCTAAGACCTTTCCGCCCATCCTCTTGCCATTGGATGGCTCCTGCCAATCTCAAACGGGCACCAACGTTATCACTCCTGGGGAGGGACCTCAATGCAGAGGCCGGGTGCTGTTTGGATGCCCGCAACTGGACAACCAGTTCAATGGGGGTGGGGGGGATTGAGCCGCAGCGGCCTCCAAATTCAGATCCAACAGATTTGGAGTCAGTGTCAATCCTCTTTAGCCCGCCTCCTCCTGCTAGGAAGGACCAATTGCCTTCCCTCTTCTTTGGCCCACCAACTTCTTCCCTTTCTTCTGGGTGCTGAAATTTCTGCCCTCCCACTGGGGGGGGAAGGAGGGTGGGGGGGACCTGCCCCTCCCAGACCCGAGATGGTTCTCTCCTTCTACCCACCTCCAGAGCTGGGGTGCATAGGGCTGTTCATCCGTGGGCTCATGGGCACGAAGCCACCGGCCGTGACGTTGGTGACATCCCGGGGCTGCCAAAAGGAAGTTGAGTTTGGTCTAGTGGGGAAGTCGCCAGGATAGAAAGCAGCAGACCATGAGTTCTAGTCCTGCCTTAAGCACCAAAGGTGGCTTGGTGACTTTTTCACTAGGAGACGGTGAATTCTAGTCCTGCCTTAGGCATGAAAACCTACTGGGTGACTTTGGGCTGATCACTAGGAGGCTGCGAGTTCTAGTCCCGCCTTAGGCATGAAACTTGGTTGGGTGATTTTGGGTTAGTCCCTCTCTCAGCACAACCCACCTCAAAGGGTTGTTGTCGTGGGGCAAATAGGAAGAGGAAGGCGTATGGGGTATGTTGGCCACCCTGAGTTGTTTGTTAAAATAATAAAGGCAATCCGTCAATAATGGACTTACACGGACAGCTTGCCTCACCCCCCCCCCCCCCCCCCAATTCATCCAAGCCCCTGGAGCAGGGGGTCCCCAAACTTGGCAACTTTTTAAGACTTGGACTTCAACTCCCAGAATTTCTCCAGCCAGTTCACAGTTCACAAGTCTTAAAAGTTGCCAAGTTTGGAGAGCTCTAGAGAAGGACCAGATCCAGCCAGTTTTAGGCCAGTTATGGGAAAGCTAACAGGGCTGGCCTGGGGTGAAGCTTTCCTCCCACGAGTTCCCCTGGATGGACCCACCTCCCCCGCGCGTCGCTCAGGGCCAGAGGGGGAAGGGGCCGCCTCACCTTGGACCCCCCCGCCAGAATCAAATGCTTCGTCTTGCAGACGAACATCCCTCCGTTCTCCACCAGCTTCTTGCAATGCAGGAAGGCGAAGCCCCGGAAGAGGTGCCGAATCTCCCCCTCGCGGCCCTGGAAGGAGACAGGAGGATCGACAGGGGGGTCACGATCCCCCCCTGGACTTACACAACCCCTCCCGTCCAGCAACCAATCCAAGAGTTACACATCAACAACCCCGGGGGGGAAAACCCCTGGCACAGGAAGGGTCCTCACACTTACAACCACTGCAGCATCCCCAGAGCCAGGTGACCAGAATTTGGGCCCTCCACACCACAGGGGTGAGCAACAGAAACACAGAGCTGGAAGGGACCTTAGAGGTCCTCTAGACCAGCCCCCTGCCCAAGCATTACAGACAGGTGGCTGTCCAGCCTCTCGTTAAAAACCTCCAGTGGGTGCAGCACCCACAACTTCTGAAGGCAAAGCTGTTCCACAGGTTAACTGTCCTCACGGTCACGAAGTTTCCCCTGAGGTCCAGGCTCCTTCTCTCCTTGGGGAGTTCCATGTTTCTTGTCCTCCCCTCTGGTGCTTTGGGAAATAAGTGGAGCCCCCCGCTCCCCTCCCCTTCTTTGTGGCAGCCCCTCAAAGGCTGGAAGGCTGCCACCATGTCACCCCCAGTTCCTCTTTCCATGAAAGGGATGAAGGCAGCCACTGAGACACAGCTCAGCGCCTGCTCTGACACAGGCTTCGTAAACCCCAATTAATCACAAACTTGCTTTAAAAGAAAAACCTATTTTATTGCAACGCTGGGAATTGTTTTCATTCCCAGCCGGAACTCATTATAAACATTTCCCCAAGATAAGCACACGCCTTTTCAGTTCTGTGGAACGCTGCCAAAAACAGAAGTCTCCAATTAACTATAAAAGAAACCAGAACTGAAGTACCGGAAAAAAACAACCAGAGTACACAGAGCTTGAGGATGACTTGGCACAGACTGAACTTTGCTTCCTGCAAAGTGTTCATCATGGAGGCCTGACTTTTATCCCTTATGGGAGGGGCCAATCACCTCCCAGCCTTACTCCTGAGTCTCAGCTTTACCCCCTTGGTCTCAGCTGCTCTCGCCTTCTAGCAGCTCTGTGCACACGCACTCTGGGAACAGGCTCCCCCTGTTCCTCTGCCTCGCTGCTGCCAGGCTCTGGAGGCTCCAGAGGGAGCCCCCCACTCCCAGATGGTCCTGGCCCCATCTCTGCATCGGACGCAGGACCCTCGCCTGAGTCCTCTCCAGGCTCCCTGACTGGTCCCCATTCTTCCCCACTGTCCAATTCTGCTGCTGTCTGCACCGGCTGCTGGCAAACCACAACAACCCCCGACCCTCCTGGTGGAGGGGTGGCTCACCGAATGAGACCCTTCGATGACCTTCACAATGTCCTTCACATGGATGTTGTTCTGCTCCGAGTCCAGGGAGACCGCAAAGCGATTGTCCTTCTTCCGATTCACCGCCTGGTGCCGCACAGTCACCAGTTGGTTATTCATGCTCAGGACCTAAGTGGGGAGGAGGAGAGGCGCTGGCTGAGAGCCAGGCAGCAGGG